ACCGCGGTAAAGAGGTCCGGCTTTTCGGAGTCAACAGTAAAGAGGCCCGCACATTTCTAGCGGGTTGCCGCTTTATGCTGTTACTTACGGTAACACAGAAAAGAGAAGCCGCGGGGATCAGCCGCCACAATGCATTTTTTAACATGTTTATTATATATTTTTTAAATAAAAAACCTTAGAAAAAGCTTTCACTGCACACTTGTTCACTGTGATGGCCTCTATTATTGTGCAAAGTCACATTCACTTTTACTGTGGAAATTCCAAGAAAATAGGGGTCAAAGTGTGCAAAAATGATCCAAAATGCACTTTTTAACCTGGATTTTTAAAAAAAGTAAAAAACCTTAGAAAAAGCTTTCACTGCACACTTGTTCACTGTGATGCCCTCTATTATTGTGCAAAGTCACATTCACTTTTACTGTAGAAATTCCAAGAAAATGGGGGTCAAAGTGTGCAAAAATGATCCAAAATGCACTTTTTAACCTGGATTCTTAAAAAAAGTAAAAAACCTTAGAAAAAGCTTTCACTGCACACTTGTTCACTGTGATGCCCTCTATTATTGTGCAAAGTCACATTCACTTTTAGTGTGGAAATTCCAAGAAAATAGGGGTCAAAGTGTGCAAAAATGATCCAAAATGCACTTTTTAACCTGGATTTTTTTTTAAAGTAAAAAAACCTTAGAAAAAGCTTTCACTGCACACTTGTTCACTGCGATGCCCTCTACTATTGTGCAAAGTCACATTCACTTTTACAGTAGAAATTCCAAGAAAATAGGGGCCACTTTGACCCCTATTTTCTTGGAATTTCCACAGTAAAAGTGAATGTGACTTTGCACAATAGTAGAGGGCATCACAGTGAACAAGTGTGCAGTGAAAGCTTTTTCTAAGGTTTTTAACTTTTTTTTAAAATCCAGGTTAAAATGTGCATTTTGGATCATTTTTGCACACTTTGACCCCTTTTTTCTTGGAATTTCTACAGTAAAAGTGAATGTGACTTTGCACAATAGTAGAGGGCATCACAGTGAACAAGTGTGCAGTGAAAGCTTTTTCTAAGGTTTTTAACTTTTAAAAAAAATCCAGGTTAAAAAGTGCATTTTGGATCATTTTTGCACACTTTGACCCCTATTTTCTTGGAATTTCCACAGTAAAAGTGAATGTGACTTTGCACAATAATAGAGGGCATCACAGTGAACAAGTGTGCAGTGAAAGCTTTTTCTAAGGTTTTTTACTTTTTTTAAGAATCCAGGTTAAAAAGTGCATTTTGGATCATTTTTGCACACTTTGACCCCCATTTTCTTGGAATTTCTACAGTAAAAGTGAATGTGACTTTGCACAATAATAGAGGGCATCACAGTGAACAAGTGTGCAGTGAAAGCTTTTTCTAAGGTTTTTTACTTTTTTTTAAGAATCCAGGTTAAAAAGTGCATTTTGGATCATTTTTGCACACTTTGACCCCTATTTTCTTGGAATTTCCACAGTAAAAGTGAATGTGACTTTGCACAATAGTAGAGGGCATCACAGTGAACAAGTGTGCAGTGAAAGCTTTTTCTAAGGTTTTTTATGTATAAAAAAAGAATCATGTTAAAAAATGCATTGTGGCGGCCCATCCCCGCGGCTTCGCTTTCCTGTGTTACCGTAAGTAACAGCATAATGTGACACCCCTCATTTTACGTGCGGACCTCTTTACCGCTGGTTCTGGAAAGCCGGACCTCTTTACCGCGGTCTCCTGTATCGGGTCCAGAGCCAGGGTTAGGGTTAGGGTTAGGTCTAACATCGTATTTCTAAACATACGGTGAAAATAGTTATTTAAGACGGGATCCTCGAGCTAATCTGCCAGCACTACTTTGGGCTCATAAAGTGCTAAAATAAGGCAACATCGGACATGTACCGGTGACGGGGACGTGTTTACAAAGCGATGGAACCAGTCCGGACTCTGGAACTCAGGTGTCCGACTCAGGATCATATCTCCGGTCAGCCAAAACATCGAAGTTTGTCTTTTGAAGTCAATAATTCCCTTTGACTGACGTATCCAAAGTCGATGCAAGAGCGAGACAAGAGATCTTCACGTTTAACATCTGCATTTAATTATCTTTACAATCAGATACAGAATATTCAACAAAAAGTGCTGCGGGAGGTTCTAGTCACAATGATGGACCCGCAGCCGCCACCTGGCCCCTAGGGGAGTGGTAGAAAAAGGTCCATGGTGCTGGGTGAGAAGTGAGGTACGGCTGTGATACGACCAGCCCGGCCTCGGAGCTCGGGCCAGACGTTACAGGTCCCTGCATGGCGTTGGAAGGCTTGCGGCCCGGATCAGGCAGGCCTCTGCAGAGCGCACAACTTCGCTGTAGAATATTCATGATGGCCAGAGACAGAACTCACAAAAAGTGTACATCCCCTCCTGCTGGGCCTTACATTGATGAGGGAGCTGCACGGTCGCATCGCACTTGAGGACTCACTGGGTGACCATGGGGTGCCCAGGACTTTATTGTATTGTATTGTATTGTCAATAGGTCTGAGGTTGTGAGGGTTGTACAAGGATAAATAATAAATCATTACTTGATCAATGTTGCAGGATTATTAAAATACGATTCATGGTTTTATAACAATAACGACTGAAATCTGAGGTTCTTGCAAAATATAATTAACAGTACAAGAGTATTTTAAAACACTAATTTGACTATTTACACATAGCTGTAACTAAAACATAAATAAGAAGTCAAATTTATGAAATCTCGATTAAGAACTGCGCTACAAAAAGAGCGAGTACCAAACATCATGTCCTGGTACTCACCTGAGTGCCTCACTGAAAAAGTTATGTGCACCCTGAATACACACATGTTACACTAGCGGCTACATGATGTTATACACATGTTACACTAGTGGCTGTATGATGATGAAATATACAGTACACATGTTATACTAGCGGCTATATGATGTTATACACATGTTATACTAGCGGCCATATGATGTTGTTGGAAGATAAACAGCCACAAAATTGTCAACAAAAAATGTGGGAAACAGCGAGGCCACGAAATGTGAAAGGTGAACTTCTAGCGTAACTGTAAACATGAGAGGAGTGGACTGACCTGAAAGCCCAGGCAGCGGCCGTAGAAGCAGGCCTTGTGCATGGAGCTGTACTCTTGCACAAAATGGCGGCTCAGCGCTGCGTCCTGCAGTGTGCACAGGTGTCCACAGGGGGTGTCGTAGAGCAGCCGCTGGGCCAGATGAAGCAGTGCTCTCAGCTGACACAGGGCACTCAAGTACGCCTCCAGCTCGGTAGCGTTGTGGTCCGCCCTGAAGAAGGCCCTTCGCAGGTTGGACGAGATGTAGCGAGCTTTGTTTATGATGTGGAGTAGGCACGACAGCAAGACCTGACACGGAAAACAGTTCATAAAGTTAAATCAAATCAAGTTTATATACAGTCAATTGGGACCGTTGATTGTATATACATGGACAATGCTAACCCCCTAGCTAAATGAAGGGAAGAGCTCAGGGAAAAATCTGTCGTTTAGCGCCAGGGCCGGAGTGGGACAATTTTTTGGCCCGGGAATTCTGGGTCAGACCGGCCCTTCTGATAAAGTAGTCTATCAAAAAAAAAAACTGAACTGCCTGCTGTTGTAATATCCATAACAACCAGCAGGTGGCCTAAAATCAAGTTTTGTAAATTACAAGACTGGTATTAAAATTATTCTTCGTTCACTCCTTTAGACTTCTCAGTGCTAGTCACAAAATAACTCAATAATGCATTTGAATAAATCATGATATTTGAATATTCTGGTATCACAATATGAATTGTAGCAAATTTTAGACTGACCCTAGACTTATGTGGATATAAAAAGCATGAATTTCACAAATTTTAGAACAATGTCAATTTTCATTCAAATAATTGTCATTCACAAAGATTTGGCTATATTTTTTTTATTATACATTGAATTGACTCGAAACCATTAAACTATCATCCTCCTTTCAAGACTAAACAAAAACAAAGACTAATGCAAATACAACACTAAGACAAAACAGTGCTTGGTACAACTTTATACAAAACCAAAATTAATCTTAACGTACTTGAATGTTGTCCCAGGGGAGAACTAAAAGCAAACTAAATGTTAACCTCTATCAAGACGAGAAAACACAAACTGCACACTATTTAAATCAATCAAACCCAAATAAACAATAGCAAAATGAAGCACATTAAAACATGAGTAAACTCTGTAGAAGTGCACTTGTTTATGCAACTTTGTTTATGATAATTGTCATTATCCAATGACAAAGGATGTCTTTTCTGTAGATATGAGCATAAAGGCTTCACATCTTTTGACAAACACACAAAATATTCAACTGTTACTTTCCTAATGTACAAAGAAGTTAAAAATGTAATTTATGCAATATACATTATACATTATGAAATAAATAAATTCATGGCCTTAGTGGCTTAGTCAAATTTGATTAAAAATACAATCTTCTTTTTGGTTTTTACCTGCCCATTCCTGAGGCTCTTCATTAATATGAATGAACGATTGTTGTATCTGAGGACCCAAGAAGCAATAATTGTAATGGAGTGCTAATCATTTAGAGAATCACGTCATGTTTTGCCACAGTGTTTTGCATGTTTTTTTTGCTAGCTTACCGCGGTCTGATGCCTCTTCATCGGCGGAGCACTTTTTATAGAAAAAAACTACCAACTTTGCACATTTGGCTGCTACAGCTTCAAGAGCTTTCCTTTTTTTTATTCTAATCTTTTCTGCTCCGCCCTTGATTTTGTTCCTTTCCATTTTAAAAACACTCGTGTTGGACAGATGTCATGTCTGTGAGAAACGGCGCTTGCTTCAGTTCTATCTGTCATTCAACCTGATCTATGGCCCGCGCTCTCGCTTAATCCCGCCTACAATCTACAGACAACCAATCAGGCCGTTGCAGAACACATCGTAACCAATGAAAGCGGCCAAATGAGACTAGCCAGAGTGTGTGTGCTGTTTACTCGTGTGTGCGTGTGTGTGGGTGAGAGAGAGAGAGAGAGAGAGAGAGAGGCAGTGCGCACGGGCGAGCGACAGGTCCGAGAAGGCTGCGGCGAACAGCGGTGTCAGGAAAGCACGGCCGCCGGCCAAGTCCGAACCAGCAACATACAACATCCAGCCCACCGGCCCTTAGCCCAACCGGCCCACCGGGAAACCTCCCGGCTCTCCCGATTAGCCACGCCGGCACTGTTTAGCGCTCTCTTTGATCATGTTTTATGGCTCTTATCGTCTTTGTGCATCCAGATGTCTTCTTTCACAGGGAATCTCTACCTTGCCAGAGAAGCCATGTTAGCAACACCGTAGTTTGAATCTTCCCCTGTTACGGCGCGGTGCTAACTCTGTCAGAACAAATGCCCATATAAGGGACCTTTTACACATTTTGCAAACACTGTCACGGGGACACAAGACACTCGAAAACAGTCAAAACAGGATCTAAACCAGGACTAAACCCGGACTAACAATGGGGGAGACCGCTTGTGAACATTTGCCTCCAGCCTCATTCCCCCATGACTCTAAACAAGGCTGCTAACGTGCATTAGCCGACACCAAATGTTTTTATTTAGGTTAAAAAAAAAACAACAAAACAATCATTACATATCGTTATCGATCGATATGAATTACTTATATTGTGATATTGTTTTCAGCCGTATCGCCCAGCCCTAATCTGACGTGTGGACAAGTATGCTCAACCATGAGTGTTCTTTGACATGTACTGTCCCATTCAAATAAATAAATGAATGCAAATACAAAATAAAGTATTTATGTATCTATCCCTAACTACAGGTGACGTAGCACTCGGCCAGTCCAGTCCTTAAAATACGGTCTATGGTTGGAACTGGTGGCCATTGTTTTGTGGCCCGTGGATAAAGAAATGCCCCCTACAAATAGGATGGGATCACTAATAGACGACATGATTTATAATGTATTTGATAAAGCGTTTGCACATTTATTTTAAAAATGAATTAAAAATTAGGCTCAATTACCATAAACAATTAAATGAATAAATACATACATCAATATGACAGACATATCACTGTAATATTGTGTTTTATTGAACTTCACAAAAGAAGACAACACCAGCACCAACATGTTGGCACTGAATCTGCTCAATCTTCGTCGTAAAAATCCTCGTAAGTAGCAAAAACATTGCTAAAATTAAAAACATAGTGTCTAAGGCAGACTTGGAGACTCTTATACACGCTTTTGTCTCCAGTCGGTTAGACTATTGCAATGGCCTGCTCACAGGTCTGTCCAAACAGGCTGTAAAACAGCTGCAGTACATTCAACATGCAGCAGCTCGAGTCCTGACCAGAACTAGGAAGTACGACCACATTAGTCCAGTTCTCGGGTCTCTGCACTGGCTTCCTGTTCCTCAGAGAATAGACTTCAAAGCAGCTTTACTTGTGTACAAGTCTCTCCATGGTCTCGCGCCAAGGTACATCCATGACATGTTTGTGCCATATGAACCGACCCGGACTCTGAGGAGCACAGGGACTGGACTCCTGTTAGTGCCCAGAGTCGGTACTAGACATGGGCAAACTGCATTTCAGATTCATGCGGCTAGAGTCTGGAACCGTCTTCCTGAGAATGTGAGACAGGCGTCTACTCTGGCATCTTTTAAATCTAGGCTCAAAACAATTCTGTTTAGCTGCGCATATACAACTGAATGATTTTATCTTTTCATCTTTGTTTTTATCTTTAATCTTTTTAATGCACTGTGACTATTTATGATTTTAGTCCCATCTGTGATTTTAATGTTTAAAGGTTTTTAATTTTTGTGATTTTATTTTTTAATGTTTTTAATATATCTTGTGCTCTTAATGTGTTTGATTTATGCATGATGTGATAGGGGATGTGAAGCGCTTTGCGTTGCCTTGTGTAGGAAAGGCGCTCTACAAATAAACGTTGATTGATTGATTGATTGATTTGCGTACAAAATTGTTCTTAAGAACGGTTCATGAATGAGGCCCATTCTTCTTAGCAAAAACCCTCCCTCCAGTTCCTGTAAATTCCCGGGTACCCTTGCATGAACTGCATGTTTGAGATCTCCCCAGATCTTCTCAAAGGCTCATAACAAAACGTTTTTGCATCAGTCTGGTCATCTTGTCCCAGCAGGAGGCCAGTCCCTGTGCTCCTGTTTGTCCAAGTTTGTTCATTTGGTATACAGATCTACCACGTGCCAGGACGTTAAGAGATACAAGCAGAGACCTGAGACCAGGACTAACGTGAGGAAACTGAGACCAGGAAACTCTCTCTACTCATATTTGATTCTAATCATCTTTTTTAGATCACTTTTTAGATTATTGCCTTGTTTTTTAGTTTTACACTGCAAAAAATGATGAAAAACAAGCCAAAAAATTGCATATTTTGACTTAGAGCAAGATTTGCCAGTGGGAAAAGTAAAACTAACTAGTTTTAAAAAGATACAAGAAATGTCTCCCTTGGAATTAAAAAATAAAGCTAAAATTCTTGAAATCAAACTAAACGGCTTTGTCCCATTGGCTAATCTTGCTGAACGACTCAAATTAAGACTTAATTTGTGCACAAATTAAGATGGAAAACACTTGATTCAAGCAATTATGACCTGATATTCTATTGCAGTGTAGGGAGAGAAACTGGATGTGTCTCATAATTCTTTCACTTTATTTCTGTGAACTAAGTTTTGTCTTAAGCTGTAGACATTTGTTTTGCATCCTCTCTGTTGGATGCAGTGAAAGTGTGAACACCACATTTCCATTTCCGACTCTTCTTTTAAAACAGAATTATTACAATGTGCAGGAATCAAGCTGAAACTTCAGGATGACAACTTTTTCGGGAAGATGTTTAAAAGCTCTCCCCAGTCGCCTCCACGTGCTGCTGCTGTAATGAAGCCGCTCTGCTTTTCTACCCAGGGAGAATCCTTGCCTTTTCCAACACCACTGAGGGGAGAAGTGATGTAACTCTCTTCCCATTTTTCTCAATCATTTTGCCGCCGTCTCCACACAATAACTTCAGCCAGGCTCGTAATTACAGCAACAGTGATGCAAGCCACTGTACAGGCAGCATGAAGCCTCACCCGGCGGCAGCGGTGAGGGTGAGGGTGGGAAGGGAGAAAAACATGCTGTTCTTAACATGGTAAGTTAGACGCCACAGTCCCACGCATATCCAAAATTGCACAGCGACTTTTACTGTAGCAGATAAATAAATGGTTTAGACAGCATGGTCACTTGGGTTGACCATATATAACTGACTGAGTTGTGACAATGCAGAGGTTGGGGGTATGTTATAAAATGCATACCTTTTTTATATCCCTACTCCTTTTCTGGCTCAATGGTGATGAGAAAATGAAAAATGTGTATATAACCCAGTTTCCACCAGCCCTAGTTTGTCCTACTCTACTCTACTTGGCTCTATTCTACCCAGATTGGGAGCGATTCCATTGGTCCTGAAATGTCCTCACTGTGGGACGAATAAAGCATCACTTAATCTTAACCAGTATCAGGTACTTCAGAACTTGCTTGGCCCTGGTTCTATCCAGGCTGAGCTTCTATACTAAAGTGTTTTAACTGACAGCCATGGTTACCAAGGAATCTGCCCGGATACTGGTTTATAGTCGGTAAGTTGCTAGGATAGTAACTAAGTAAGTAATGTATATTTATATACCGCTTTTCACAGACCAGAGTCACAAAGTGATTTACAATTGTTATTTTTGGGCATTTGTCTCTCACTCCACACTGAGATGGGAGCGTGGTCGCCAGTACAGGAGGCGCATGCCAGACCTATTGTACATATTTTTAGTGGTAGGGGAAACCGGAGGAAACCTACGCAGACACGGGGAGAACATGCAAAGGATAGGATACCAAATACTAATGCGCAACGCGCAAACACAAACAGGTAAGGTAGAGTAGAGAAGAGTAGGGCCAAGTTGGTCTGGCGGGTACTATAGATGTATAATTTGTAATTTTTCAATAAAAGCTATTTGTTTATAGCCCTAAATCACAACAGCAGTCGTTGCGGAGGACTTTACAAAGTTGTCGATTCGCCGACAGCATATTAGAGAATCACACTATTTAACAAAAGAAATATAATAATAAAACAAACACTTATGGAAGCCATTGAGCCATATAACATCTAACAATAGTAATAAATTACAACACTTTTGGTCAGTAGCAGAAGTAGAGCAGCCTCAGGGTGGAGCAGAGCAGGTCGGAGGGGGGCTATGGAGCATGTTGTATTTAAATGCAATACAACATGTGAGGAATCTCTCTCTGATTGATTGCCACATGTGCGTAGGGCAATGACGTTTAACAAAGTATCTCCATTGTATGTGGCATTCGTTGAGTCGCTGTACCCCTAGACTCTGGAGGCAAAAACTCAGCTGTCACTGGAAAAAACGTACTGCAACGCATATGATCATGATGCACCATGGATGTAATATATTATATGGAGGGTATAGTTACTTCTGCCGGTCCTCAGCACGGTGGTGGACCTGCACTACTGCAGTGTCGGGAGATTTCCCCATAGACCGCAATGTTATAACGGCTCGTCCTCAGCTGACAAAGAACCCAAAGCTTTCATAAAGAAGGATCTCATGGGAATTTTAGTGTCCCTTGTTATTCTGAACTGTTTTTATGTACTGTATATCCATCCAAAT